GGAATGCCTTAATTCTAGTACAGTTTGAATTGATAACTAAGTACTACAGGGTACAAGCCCGTCAGGAGAAATCAGTTAGCTCTTGCTGAACAGCTGCTTTGTGATAACACTGCTTTTGTTTTATGGTTCATAATAAAATACATCATCTAAACGCACAAAAAATGAAAGAAGTCAAGCTCATCGAAAAAAATTACTAGCTTCCCTTACAGCTACTGACTTGAGCTCTGAACAATGAGCTCGCAGGGATCATAGTTTAGTATGTGTTAAGTGATTTAAACTATTTTTGCAAACAATGACAAACATCCTTTAATGAAGAAAACAGTTTCCTTAAGCTGACAGTAAAGATCTAACGTATCAGTACGTGATGGTCAAAATTTAATGGAATAAAGATAACAGCAGATTTGAGAACAGAATCTCGTCCTTGAAAGCTCTAAGTTCTTCATTGTACAGAGTGAAGAAATCTTTTAAGGGTTAATACCTGTCCATGCCCAGTTATTTTCCAGGGAAGGAACAACCTATAAAACAAGCACATCCAAACTCTATATGGAGCTCAAGGACATTTCCCTGTTTGCGCTGTCAATCTCTAATTGTAAAAAGTTGTCTTATGTTTATTTCAGTTAATTGGTTAATGCTCTGCTTTATTAGCCCATGAGGTAACACAGAACACCGACCTAAATGTTATTTTAGGAATGAGTCAGCAGCAGCTGCTTCCAGGTCACTGCATTTTGGGTCTCTGTACCAATGTGGAGCACCTCAGCCCACCACATGCCAAGGGAGACACCAACCAAAGGGAGAGAACCACCATGTGCTTCTCGCCCATGACTCACTTCAACCAAATGGAACAGTGCGTTATGTTTATCTCTGTATAGAGCTGCATCCAATTGTCTTTGCCTGTAACATGGGTCCTTGCAAAGCAGAAATAGCATGGAATAGACAGCTTTAAAAAAAAATGTCCCAGCTGTACAGTAATATACACACATGCACGTAAAACAGATGTCTGCACGAGCATATCTTGATGTATGTACAGCATAGCACAATAAACACTTAATACTACCAAAACAAAGAATGCAATTGCATTAAAAACATAATGTTCACCAACATTATACACACAAGGAGACCACACAGTTCACATACACACTTACACGATGTAATACTGTTGCTGTGAACACTGACCTTCCTGTGCCACAAAACATTAACTAGTGTGGAATTCAGGACATCACAAGTTTCACCCTCGCCCTCCTTGCTCTGATACCCCTGACCATGCAACTTCTTATTTTGTATCTCAGAACCCTCACTGTTCTTATGGTTTCTACTTACGCAAAATCCCCCACTTTTTCCTTTATCTTGGTTTGCTTTTGGGGTTTTGTTCGTTTGTTGTGGATTTTTTTCTAAACCCCACAAACACACAGTCCACCTATCCTGCAACAAAGGACCCTGTCATCAAAGGAGTACTTGCACAGTAACATCAGACTTGATGTGTCAAGTTCTAGAGGCAACCAAGTGAAGCCATTTCACTGTCCTGCTTTTCCGCACCGTTTATGGCAGAAGCTTTCCTTGGTGTTTGTGGGTTGGTGGTGGTTTTTTTGTTCTCTGTTTGCTTTTTAAGATGCATTTTCTGGCAATTATACATCTAGAATGAACTTCAAACAGAGTCACCTCATCACCAGCACTTGGCAATATTCCCTAAACAGCACACTGTGCCTCCACGTTCTCTATGGCTATGCTCTATGTAACCATTTCTCTCCAGAAAAGTTTACAAGCTGCACCTTTAAGACATGAAGAGAGGGTTGTCTTATATAGCACAGTGTGTATTTCAGACAGAGTTGTACTAAAAACACAGTCCAGGAAATTGCTGCAAGTTAGATAATCCTAAGCACCTCTCAGACATATTCCACACTTTCATGAAGTTGTGCAGAAGTAGCAAAAGTTACTTCAGTTTGCCCTATCTGCCATTCCTCAATCCTAAATGTGCAAGTTTCATGCTGAATTTTATTATGAGACACTACTCGTCTCATTGCAAGTCAAACAGGACAAAAGGCAATGTTTAAATTGACCTCCAACAACTCTGGCCCCAAATCACCTTGAGACAATACATTCAAAAGTAGTAGTTTAAAAAAAAAAAAAAAAGAAAAAAGAAACACCCCACCCAAAGCTTCACAAAACAGGGGTTTACTTTGTTTTCTCTTCCTTTTTTTGGGAGTATTGGGGGAAGTAAGGTGGATGGAAGAAGAAAGGGTGTTTGACAAACCCAGACAGTCACTTCAAGATTAGCAAACAAACGTTAAGGCCGAGTAAACTGCTTAACTTTTCAACGGGAAACTCCTAAATCCATGGTCTTGGAAGAATGACACCCCTGTTTAGAAGTCTGTTGCATATTTAAGGCAAAACAACTGGCTATTATGATGAAGATTCAACTCAGCTTCCATCAGCTAAATTCCATCAAGAAAATAAAGGTATCGATTCAACATTATTTTCTCCCAGCCCAAGGGTGGAAAATAAAGAATTACCAATTCTTTTTGCCAATACCAGACCCAAAATTACAAATTTAGCAAATTTAGCCTCCAGAGTAGAACAAGCAACAATATAGCCCACCTGGCATTCAGACCTGGGCTAGAGACCTTAGCAATACCCGCTACGTAACGCGGTGCAACAGCTTGAGATAGAAGAACAGGCCTGTGGGTAACAGCCCCCTGCTTTTAGTTTTCAGTGTCTGATCCCCGTTCCAGTCTAATCAATCGGCCATACCGGCAAGCAGCTCTGAGCGTTTCTGGAAAAAAAGGGAAAAGCTGGAAGCTGTCTGGATATTTGTGTGGCTGAAAGACTTCACGACAGAAGTTCACCTTACACCTGTCTGAAATCAGTGGAACATCACTCCCAGCCCTGGAGCATGGTCTTAACATCAAAACAGGAAGACGCTAGAGTGCAGACTGAATGCCACAGAGGTTCTCAGCAATGCCTGTCTGCAAGCACAACTGCACAACCCCAACCTTTTATTCACTCTCCTCCAAAGGGAGCGAGACATCTTAAAAAAGTGGTTGATATGGTACCATGCTGCTTCCTGACAGAAGCCAGGCTTCAGAAGGAGCTGTACTGGTAATCAGTCTGGTCCTTTGTTCTGAATGTTTAGGCAGACACATGTGAAGAGAGTCCAGAAGTTTTGCACAGATCTGAAGACAGCAGGCAGAAAGGAAGGAAGAGAAGAAAGGGGATGGAATTCAGATACCTTTTCACTTTAATCAGATATTAAGTCTCCACCTGGGTTCAAAGACCTTGTCTGTCCAGGAACCGCTTCAGCCAACAGTAAAACAGAGGTGGGTATTCACATCACCTACTGACAGTAGCTAACCTCAGGGCCTCAGTTAGAAAAAGCCAGCTCCCCCAGTCGATCAAGAACAGGGTTCCTTCCTCCAGCTGGCCATGCGGAGAAGGCACAAGCTAGGTACTTCCACACTGATGCTCCATAAAAAGAGTTTGCCTTCTTCCAGCAACTATGAGGGTCCCAATTTAAGCTATGGGAGTTAGACTCATGGTGATGGTGGTTAATCCTAAAAACACGCACAGCATAATTTGCGACCATCAGTAATGATTCTGTTGTGCAGCTTTTAAGTGTTGGTATTTTCTTTACTTTTTCATACCTTTATTGCAATTAGGAGAGGTGAACAAGGCACAATAAAGGTCAAAAATCAGAAACAGTACATGTGAATATACAATTCTCTTTTTCCCCAGCTTTACTAGGCTCTCTTCATAAGCTAAGAAGCTATTCAATATTGTTTGCTTGAGTTTACAAGACTGACTAGCCACTGAAAAACAAGTATGTGCATCTGCAACTGTTTAGATCTACCATTGGCCATCAGTATGTACAGATTTGCTTCCTAGAGAAGCAAATGTTAGACAAAAAATAAGAATTACTTGTCATTTAAAACATTCAGTGTTTCATTGCATTAGTTATATT